TAAACTTAAAAAAAAAAAAAAAGAATTTCAGGGATGCCTAGATGGCTCAGTCAGTTAAGCGTCTGACTTTGGCTCAGGTTATGATCTTGCAGGTCATGAGTTTGAGCAACTCGTCAGGCTTGGTGCTGACAGCTCAGAGCCTGAAGCCTGCTTCAGATTCTGTGTCTCCCTCTCTTTCTGCCAGTCCTTCCCCTCAAATGAATAAACATTAAATTTTTTTTTCAATAAATAAAAGAATTTTCAGTTTTATCCTAATTACAAAGCGTATAGTTGGTACTTAAGAAATAGTTGCTAAATGAATGAATGAAAAAATGAAATCTGGGGCATGTAGCAGAAGGCAAGCTGAGGTTCACGTCTCATTTTGGGGCTATATTCTTCTCAGTTTAGCAGACATGGATAAGGGTACAGGATAGGCTGAATCTCTTCCTTGGGTGATTATTATTATCCCCATTTTATAACTCAAGATTATAGCGAGTAAGATGTGGAACTGGGCTTTAAAAATCCATGTCTGACATCATAGCCCATGTTTCTAATTGCCAATAAACACTGCCCTCCTCAACAACATAGCCTGCAGTTAAAAGACAAAGTTTCAGACAGCTCACTGCATTAAAATATTCTGAATAATTTTCATAGTGTTGACACATGATTTTGTCATATAGATACAAGCAGTAGAGAATTCTCAAAAGAAATCGAAAACTATTTTTTCCACAAAGATATAACTAAAGAAATATAGTAAAGACAAACAAAAATCTAAAACATCTATTTCAAATTTGTAGAGAATCATTAGATATAGAGACATTTAAAGAGTATTTCTCCTCTCTCTCTCAGAAATAAATTAAAAATTAAAAAAAAAAGGGACACCTGGGTGGCTCAGTCAGTTGGGCGTCTGACTTTAGCTTAGGTTATGACATCACCCTGTGTCAGGCTCTGTGCTTACAGCTAGCTCAGAGCCTGGAGCCTGTTTTGGATTCTGTGTCTCCCTCTCTCTGACCCTCCCTTGCTTATGCTGTCTCTCTCTCTCTCTCTCTCAGAAATAAATAAAAAAAATTTTTTTAAAAAGAGTATTCCTTATAATAGGAATTTAAGAATGGAAAAACACCTGAGGTGGAGACACAATTTTTATGCAGATATATCTGTACGGAACTCTCAATTCAGGCAACTTTGTAGGCCAAATCTGACCCACTATCTTGTTTTTCATATGGCCTGTGAGTTAAGAGTTATTTTTAATGGTTGAGAATAAAAAGCAGAAGGATATTTCATGACACATAAAAATTATATTAAAATTTCAGTATCCATAAATAAAATTTCATTGGAATACAGACCTATTCATTTGTCTACATGATGTCCACGGCTGTTTTCATGTCATAGCAGCAGAGTTGAGTAGTTGCAACAGAAACAATAAAGCCAATATCTGGCCCTTACAGAAAAAGTTGGCCACCCCATTACAGCTAATTTCTTCTGACTTATCTTCCAGTTCACTAATACTGTCTTCAGTTGTATCTAATCTGCTGCTAAATCCTATTGAGTTTTTAATTTTAGTAAATGTGTTTTTTAATTCTAGAAGTTTGTTTTTCCAATCTAATATTTTTGCTTTTTCAAATCCCTTATTCCATGTATAGCTCAATCTTGTCTTTATTTCCTTAAATATAGTATATCTAATTGCTTTATCAACTGTGTCTGGTCCAATTTCACACATCTCTGTGGATCCCCCTCTGTTGTCTGTTGGTTTTCATGATTCTCACTAATGGAGCCTTGTTCCCTTGCACACTTAGTTATTTTTACTCTGAGCTGTTTGTTTCCTTTAAAGGTTATTTGCAGGGATTTCATGTCTTCCTCCTGAACAGGTTTGCATTCGCAGAAGACCTTGGCAGCACTGCCAGTCTGGAATACATTAAACTCTCATATATTTAAAGCTCATGGTTTGAGGTTTCACAGATCACTTGAGTGATGAGAAGCCTGACTGCAAATAGCAAGTGTGGCTTTTTAATGAACTTATTGCCCTGATCCACTCAGAGTCCTGGCAACCTTTACTGTGGTCCTGGTTTAAGGGTGCAGGTTTACTTCTAGTTCATCCTACGCTAAGTCCTTTGGGGTTCTAGTTTAATGTGGAAAGGACCAAAAGATGGAAAATATGGAAGAGATGTCAGTAGACCTGGGGGCTACAATGAGAAGGTATAACAATTTAATCAGAGTTCCAGAAGAGGAGTAGAGAGAGAGTCGACAGAGGCAATATTTAAAGAAATGATGGCTAAAAATTTTCTAAAACGTATGAGTTCTTATGCTCCCGTATAGTGACAAATGGTAGCTACACTTGTGGTTAGCAAGGCATGACATATGAACTCTTCAAATCACAATGCTGTACACCTGAAATTAATGTAACTCTGTACGTCAACTATACTTCAATTTTAAAAATCAATTCAAAAACAAACAAAAACGACACACACACATATACACAAACAAAAACCTGTTTGATTTAAAAATTAAATAATAAATTTTGTGGTGCCAGGGTGGCTGAGTTGGTTAAGTGTCTGACTCTTGGTTTTGGCTAAGGTTGTGTGATCTCACCGTCATGAGCTCGAGCCCCGCATCAGGCTCTGCACAGACAGTGGAGAGCCTACTTGGGATTTTCTCTCTCCCTCTCTCTCTGTCCCTCCTCCCCCCTCAAAATAAATTAGCATTTTAAAAATAAAATAAATTTTAAAAATCTAAATGAATCTAATCACAATACATAAAAAGAAATTCTCACATTTACAAATCTATTTATATTTTATAGAGCCCTTTCTTCTATTCTTCCTTAAAAACTTTGGGAAGTGGATATTTTTAATCTACATTTTTGATAAGGAAAAACTGGTATTCAGAGGGCTAAAATAAATTATCTAAGGTAATGTAATTCTAAGCAGCAGGGACAGAATTCCAATCTAGTTCTTCTGATTCAAGTTCAGGTCCTTTCCTGTGCATCGGAATTAGAACACAACACTGCAGAAGGCGACTTCATAAGAGGAGATCTGGACACTGCCAAGGGATCAACTTCAAAACCCAGAATCCTTCGCTTGGAAACTTCTCCCTGGAAGCAGGTAAAAATCATTTCCACATATCTGTGCTTTCTTTTGAAGATAGCACAGGACTGGAAAAGTCTTTACAATAAGAGGGCTATATTTTAACTTGTGAGTTATTCCCCACGCTAAAGACCAAGTTGACTTGAATGGCTCGTGGATCTGGCCTGCCGTGAACCACCCAACTGTCGGGCCAACGGGGCAGAAGCATCCTCCTAATTCCCCTTCTTACGCTGCTGGAGACAGTTTAAATACCACGGTTAACACGTCCTAAGTAACATGCCTTTTGTTCATCAGTGTGATCTGACTTAAATCGCTTCCATTCTGGTGGCATTTCATTTGCTTAGCTAATACTTGATTTCTTTCTTTCTTTCTCTTTTCTTTTTTCTTTTTTTTTTTTTTTTGCCTAGGGCACTAAATTAAGACTTTTCTAAGAGTGAAGCCTATGGCTTCCTAGCACAATTGAGCCCCATTCCCCAGATGTTAACGTGTGGCTGACATCTCTCTACTAGCCTGGTATAAAGAGCAGACCATCCTTCCCTCGTGGCTGCCTCCGTGATGTATAAAAGCTGGAAGAATTACAACGCCTGAATTCACAGTATGAGGCGTGAAAGTCAAAAAGCCAGAAGCCAGGGAAAGGGTCTAGATGCTAGATAATTCAGGGGGACAGCCAAACAGCCCCAGGTTCAATGTCTTATATGTAGGCACAGCCATCACCATCACAAGCAGCTGTGGGCAAGGCTTCATGCGAGAGAGGAAAGGAGTCACAATTCCCATCTTCCATGTCCGTCTGGTATCGGCAGGGGACACGGGACTGTGAAAATGACTGATAACAGAATGGAGCCACAGGCAGGTTTTCAACCATTTACTGCGTACCAACCACGAGAAAGGTGCCATGCTGGGTCTGAACACACAGAATGGATACAGTCCAATCTCAAGGCATCCAGTCTGACCGGGCAAGTGCACGGTCATCTACCTATCATCCATGCATCTATCCACGCAGCCATGGTCAGTGTTTACTGAGATCTCACAAACATAAACCAGCACTGGCTCAGTGCTAGCAAGAACAAGAAGGCCAGAACAGAGCAGGATTCTGAGAGGATTAGATTCTCTGTACTTGAAAGCCCGTATGAATTAATCATTTCAATTAAGTCCTTACAATAACCCTAAGAGGTATAGGTATATTGGTGTCCTCCTCTTACGGATGGACTAAGGCTCGGAGAGGCTAAGTAGCTTGCCCCAAATCAGAGAGTAAATGGCGATCTGGGATTCGAACCAAGCCAGGCCTGGCTCCAAGCCTGTGCTCTTAATAAACTAATAATTATGACCCAGCTAATTATACTACAATGAGATAATCAGTGACAGGAGAAAATTCACTAGAAGCAGAGGGAAAGAGATCCTGAATTCTGTGCAAGGAAGAGGTGGTCTTTGAGTTTTCCCAGGAGACCAGCAAGGAAAGGGACTTGCAGGCACAGAGAAGAAGCACATGCAAAGGGAGAAGGGAATGGAGGGTTTGCTGGTGGCAGAGGGACAGGAGCTAACGCAGGAGAGGAAGCCTGGTCACAGGAAGCCCTGCGCGCCAGGCTGCAGAGCGTCTTTGAGAGGCCACAGCCTCCTACTACAATTCAACCAGCCTCCACTCTGCACCAGAAGCCTTTCCAGGACCTCCTTGTCCATCAAACCTGGCAGTGCCTCCTTCTGGAAGGAGTTCCCTGTGCCAGCCAGATCTAAGGCCTTATGTTTGCACCTGCAATCCCATGCCCTCTGGGCCCCTGCAGACTTTAACGTGCTCTAAGATTCTGCTGATGGGGCGGGGTGGGGGGGTGTCAGAGGCCCCAGGGAGCCCCCCAACAAATGCAGGGCTGAGGAGGTGACCCTTCAAAGATGGACCCTGGTTCTCACAGACGTCTCTACCACAGAGTCAAGGTGCTTTCTTGTTCTACTCACAGTTTAGAGTCCAGCTTCAGGAGGAAACCCAACCGATCATACTCTGAAAAAGAACAGAAAAGCAGAAAATGTTACTAAAGTCAAGCCACTGTTGACACTAGCAGATTACATTCCCCAGACACAGACCTTGGGGACAGACAACTGCTCAAGGAACAGATTCAAATACATAAGCCATAACTAAATTTAAGTCTCAGACCTCTTGCTGAACACCTGTTTTCAATACCAGGTGTTTCCCAGACCCTCTAGGCCAACCAGTCCTATGCTGGTATATAACTGCCTTCCTGTTTAAATGCGGTGCTTGACTGAAATTTAGTTAAACAACAAAACTCAACCCCCAGAGAAATAACAGGGTTAGAAGCAATCTCTGATTCCTCTAAGCTCTAGTCATAATTTTTGCCGAAGCAGCCGTGTTAACTATGGAGTGCAGATGTGGCAGCCAAGGGGTCCTCAAATCCATGGCAATGACCCCAGCTTCTTCACTATAGGCCCAAAGACTGACAGGTCTGATTACATAAAGGGTAGGAAATTTAAAGTGAAATCTAAAAATAAGTTGTAAGATGTTTACAGCAAATGATAAATCATGAATATTTTGTTGCCTCATTCTTAGATGAGGTTGAAGCAGTTTTATAAAATTGGATGGAGTACAAAAGTTTTTAAAAAGAAGGTATCTGGGGGGAAGTCCCTGGGTGGCTCAGTCAGTTAAGTGTCTGCTTTTTGATTTCAGCTCAGGTCATGATCTCAGGGCCGTGAGACCAAGCTCCGCATCAGGCTCGATGTTGAGTGTGGAGCCTCCTTAATATTCCCTCCCCTGCTTGTTCTCTCTCTCAAAAAAAAAAAAAAAAATCTGGTATCTGGGACCACAGGGGAAATAAGCATAAGAAAAATAATATAAGAATACCAAAACTGGATGACCTAAGGTCCTATGTGCTGGCTGGAGGAGGATTATAGAATCATCCCCAAGATTTCTCACAGCTAAAGCTAAATGCAAAGCACTGATAAAATGATTTACAGTGTTAATAAAATAAACCAGGAGAACCACAGCTATTTGTGTTCCTACGACTTGAGGGAAGTGTTATAAGGTTATTTCTTATAACTTTGGTCAATGTTTGCAAAGTGTGTGTGTGTGTGTGTGTGTGTGTGTGTGTGTGGTGTGACTACATCAAAATAAGGCAGTCTATGGGTGCAGTTCTCAGTTGGCCTGGCTTAACCTGAGAACAGAACAGAATACCAAGGCCAAACACCTAAATGACAGAGGTCATGCAGCAAGATTTTTGGGGAACTCAGTATTCAATAAGTAATGATGGCCAAGAGAAGGAAGGTACCCATATTGACAAGAATCTCACAGAGCCATTCTGCAAGGCCAACTAAGGCCCAAATCTGTACTCTTTCTTAAGCAGCAGAACTGCAGTGAGAGAATAATTCTTCTTCTTAAAATTGAAGATACCGACTAGAACATATAACTCAACAGAAGGCTTGCCTCCCAGGAGGAAAGTCAAAGCCTTTCCTCAAAGTAATTCTGCTTTTGCTCTAACTGAGATACATGGATGGGAGACTTTGCTTAATATATCAGGAACTTCTAAAAGTCAATTTTAAAAAAGGTGTCAATTTCAAAAATAAACCGAAAACAAAATTTGCAAAAAGAGTTAGTTTCAAAGGTTAACACTCTTTCAACAATCCTATTTATCATTCCATAAAAAAGAAAATCTCATTAATTTGCCAACTCCTGTTGCTTTCCCCATGTGGCCATAACTATTTCCCCATGTGGGGCAGCTATTCTGCTACTGCTCCTCAGATCCAAGTTAAGACTTCCTTGGAAATACAATGAATCCACACTTTGGCTGTTTCCTTCCAGAGACTCCAGAGAATGCCTTCCTCTTGTTGCAAACTCAGATGTTAAGGGCCAGGCAAGAATCTAACACAAGTGAAGGAAGGAGGGAATGTGATATCTTCCCAGAGTAACTCATACTACTGATTTCAGTTGTATTAAAAACAAATTCTGTTGAAATGTATTTTTTTTCACCACATAATTTTGTACAGTAGCCATGATTATATCTGCGGGTTATTTTCCAATGGCATTTTAAGTTTTGTTTTACAGATATATACACTAATTGCATATTAAACATATGAGAATGCTGCATGTCTAAAGAAATCCCCTTCATAGCTCTCTGGGACTGTTGTTTTCTCTCTTTTGTTAAGAGACAGGAGTGCAAGAGATATTTCATCTTATTCTGTTAATTTAAGGAAAGGTAACTGTGTGAGTCCGACAATGATAAATGGCAACTGACGTCGCCTTTGGGTCACAAAGCCAAGAGGGAATGGAGCCCATCTGGAGACTTCATGCCCTGTCCAAGGGGAAGCTTCCATCAGTGCCAGTGGACAATGCCAGGCAGCAATGCAGACCCAGCACTGCCACATCTTCTCATTTTTTTTTTTAAGCCAAGGATCTGGGGTGCCTGGGTGGCTCAGATGGTTAAGCATCCAACTCTTGGTTTCAGTTCAGGTCATGATCTCACAGTTTCAAGGGTTTGAGCTCCACATCAGGTTCTGCACACTCAGTGCTTGAGATTCTCTGTCTCACTCTCTCTCCGCTGCTTTCCAACTCATACTGTCTCTTTGTCTTTGTCTCTCAAAATAAATAAACTTTATAAAACCAATAATCTGGATCATTTCTTTCTTTCTTCTTAAGTAGGTTCCATGCCCAGCGTGGAGCCCAATGTGGAGCTTGAACTTTCAAGACCCTGAGATCAAGACCTGAGCTGAGCTCAAGAGTTGGGTGCTTAAATGACTGAGCCACCCAGGCACCCCAAGAATCTGGATTTTTTAAGGTAAAAATTTTCAATGTGTAACTACTGGCAATAGATTCCACAAAAATTTAGGGAGCATCTGGGTGGCTCAGTTGGTTAAGTGTCATACTCTTGATTTCAGTTCAGGTCATGATCTCACAGTCATGAGATCAAGCCCTGCATTAGGCTCTGTGCTGGGCATGGAGCCTGCTTGAGATTCTCTCTCTCTCTCTCTCTCTCTCTCTCTCTCACTCACTCTCTCTCCCTCCCCCTCTACCTCTCCCCATCTTGTGTTCTCTCTTTCTCTCTCTCTCAAAAAAGAAAAAAAGAAAAATTTAAAGGTTATGAGGATTAGCCAAAATATGTCCACGGGCAGGATTTAGCCAGTGAACTAACAATCTATAAACTCTGTCCTAGACTGGCAGTCCATGAGGGCTGGAAGTAGTTCTCTTTTGTGGCTGCACACAGTACATTCTCAGTAAATTTCTGTTGATTGCTACTACCAGGATTATTTGGTCACGATGGTCATAAATCCAAATCGAATTAGTCTAACAGGATGCTAAAAGAGTATTTCAGTCAAGTCTCTGGGATGATACTAACTAACTAGTATCTAGACATTAACATGAGGTTCTAGACAGAGATGTAAATTTTCAATTTTACATTTTTTGTGACCCAAAGGCGACGTCAGTTGCCATTTATCATTGTTGGACTCACACAGTTACCTTTCCTTAAATTAACAGAATAAGATGAAATATCTCTTGCACTCCTGTCTCTTAACAAAAGAGAGAAAACAACAGACTCACTTAAAACAACAGAGAGAAAGCAACAGTCTCACTTAAGGGCCAGAATGGGTACTTGTCTTTCCCTTATGCCTGGTGAGGGAAGCTTAACTTTGACCCTTAAAGAATGGAGAACGCAGTGGACTTCTAGGTGCCTGACTTCTACCTGACAAGTGTAAAGGCCACAAGATAGGCTGGATGCAGGAACTGGCCTGCACTCCAGAATTTGTCAAAGAAAAGGATGTGTAAATGAGCTAGAGTGGGTTTTAGGTCCTTTCCAAAACACGGTCCAGAGGGTAGCCAGGGGCCTCAGCACACACAGCAGGGACAGACACTGAGAGTCCCAGGGGCTGCAGGGGTGAGTGACAAGGCTTGGGCAAGTGCATGACCTCAGGGGAGCTCTACAGCAGAGGTCCCTAGTTGAAGGAGTCTCCAAAATGCCTCCCGGAGCACCCAGAGGCATTTGCTTTAAACATTCAACAGCTCAGACAGTGCTGACACTATCTTACGTCTTTTCTGCTCACATTCTCTCTCTCCCTTTGCCCACCAATTCCAGAGAGGTCAGAAATCACAACCAGCATCTGGGGAGGAGTGGGAAAATGACAAGCAGGGCACATCCTCTTCCCAGGGTCAGGCCCCTGCTGGTACTAAGCCCTCAATGCAGGGAGGGGAAGTCACTGTAGCTCTGAAAGAATTGAAAGCTATAGTTCTTACATAAGGCCAGATACTCTAATTTTGGAATTGGTGACTCAATGTGACCATGGGATTTTTATTACCTCTGCGATATCAAAAAATTCTCTGGACCTCTCACACTGAAAAACATTTTTAGGGGACACAGGGAGACAAAATAAAGCCAGCTTTGATTATCTCCTGATGTGTCTCGCATGTTCAATATACCAGTTGTACTAATTTAGGCAAAAAGGGCAATGCAACGGTTCACACAAGCAGTGTGGAAAGGGTCAGGGTGCAGGTTTCTGAGGCCACGGAAAGTGACCAGACCACCACCGCGCCTCCCTGAGTCATTTCTCTCCCCTGACCGGCTTCCTTCCTAAGTTAGAAAATGTGCTGCCAGCAACTTTCAGACACACACCTTCAGCTTAGCCTCTGAAAAGGGACTAAGACTCAGTCTCTCTGCACAAAATGGCAAAACTCCCAGGGAAGGGCCAGGAGTGGCCTAGTGTACATCCGTTCCTCACACCTGCTCTAATCACAGTGACAGGAGGCAAGGTTTGTAAAAACAATTATGACTCCCACATGACACATGTGGTTAGGAGAATTTACCAGACGAAGGGATATGCTGTCCTGAACAAATGCAGGCTCTGGGGAAGAGCAGGAAGTCTTTGGAAAACACAGCACTAGCTCAGTCTCCCAGGGAAAATTGGTACAGCCATGGATGATATTAAACGGACCACTGTTAAAATGGGCTTTGGACTTTTTCCTTCCCAACCTCATTCTGCGTGGGTTTTTTCTTCCCTGACCAA